TCATGATCTGGAGAAAGAAGGGACGATCAACATTCAACAGATCAGATCCAGTGAAAATCCGGCTGACCTCTTCACCAAATCTTTACCCCCGAAGAAGTTCATAGAACTTGTACAGAAGATCAGCATGCGTCGCCTTCAAAATTTATTCTAAATTCAGGGGGGGTATTTGAATGCACTGCACACTTTTTCCTTCATCAGGTTTTTATCCCATTGGGTATTTCCTGATAAGGTTTATAACGAGACAGTACATCCAAATACAATGACATTATAAGTCGTAATCTTTACCCATTAATTTTCACAATAAGTTTTTAAAATATTAAATACATATTCTAGGATGAACATTCAAGGGGGAGTGTTGTAGAATCACCAAAATGACAAGTGTAATGTCCATCCTTTTAATCAGGACACTAAGCAATCACAAATCCTTATAATCACACACATGGCTGGATTTAATACTGCCAGCAAATTATGTAGAATCATTCCTAGATGATTCATCCCTAAGTTTGGCTAGTATAAATAGGGTTTGTTTCATTCATTGTAAACTCACTCAGAAACTCAGAAATTTTCAGATTAAGAAGAAGTAATTCAGAGATTTTTATCTATATATCTATCTCATAAATTTAGTCTCCATCTTCTTCATTTCACAACATATAGGATATATTTTCAATCTAGTAAATTTATTGTTGTCCTTAAACATAATAAGATGAAAGTTTTGGGGTGAAAATAGAATATCCAAGGACTTCGGCATGGAAAGATGGTGTGATAATCAGTTGGTATACCGTGGGATCATTCCACGGTGAGCACCGTGCTCCACTCTCAAAACGACGTAGTTTTGCACAGTTTTTTTTTTAAATTCGCATGAACAGTACACGCGTGAATAGTACACGCATGTACAGTAATGTTTTTTTTTCTTTCTTTTTATCCCAGTAGCATGAGTGATGTAACTCGTGTGTAAAGATATGTAACTTATGTTATTGATCAATGTAACTGAAGTGCTTTCAAAATGTAACTTGTCAAATACATAGTACTTCATATTAGAAATACAATATTGATTTCAATGTAAACAATGAAAAAAGTCTAATTGCACAATTGCTTTAGGTAAATCGTGAATATGTTTTATTTTTAATATCATGACCATAAAAAATAATTTTTTAAAAAAGATCATTTTTTTTGTTTTAATATCAGGGTTTGATTTTTTTAATGTAACTCATGTTATTACAAATGTAACTCGTGTTGATGACAAATATAACTTAGGTGTATAAAGAATGTAACTTGTTGAAAAATTGAACAATTTTTGTGTGTGTGTTTGAGAATACTATTTATATCATAAACATTTATTTCAATGTAAACAATGAAAAATTGATCCTAATAGCTTAATTCCTTTTTTTATATAGTGAATATGTTTTATTTTTAATATTAGGGCTATAAAAATGATATAATAGTGGTTTATTCCGTGGTGTAACTTGCATTCATTAAAATGTAACTCGCGTATATTAAGATGTAACTCGCGTACATTAAGATGTAACTCGCACAGAAGAAGATGTAACTTCATTATATATTAGCAAATGTAACTTCAAGAATCAAAATAAACAAACTCAATGTCTTAAAACCCTCTAAAAACATATAAAAGTGATAAATAATTACGTTATAGAAAAAATGTATACATATAAAAAATATTACAAAAAACTGTATGCATATAAAAAGTACATTACAAAAAAAGTATATGAATATAAAAAATATTACAGATACAAAAATAGTGTATGAATATGAAATGCAATATACTTATTTTATTTAGATTAATAAACTTTTTGTTATGTATTGATAAAGAATAAAAAAATAGATTCAATTATAATTCAAGATGAAGATAAAGAAAAGTAGGATTACCATTAAATTTTTAGCTGATGCAAAAAGAAAAGAATAGAAAAATAGAAAAACAAAGAAAGAAAAGGAATGAACGTTTTATTAATAAAAGAAAAGAATTGAACAAAAGAAAAATAAAGAAAAAAACATAAAAGAAAAAGAATGAAGCTACAGGATGAAAGAAAAGGAAAGCTAAAGTGGGATCGACACGGTGGGCCTATCCACGGTATAATTGCGCGTGACAATGGATAATCTGGATAGGCATCACCGCTCGCTCAGTATTGCGTAGTGAGCCCATAATATCACAGGGCACGTCAATCCTCACAGCCATGGATCGATCGAACTACGTTCCGGGCACATCCTTAGAAGAATTCAGTAAGCAGCCTCTTCACGATATGAACCTTAATTGGTCACCTACCGATTGCAGGTTAGCCATAATTCACCAATTGCATATGCTAATATGCATATATAAAAACTAGGGATCATAGGTGTGTAGGTAATTATCTGAGGCGATTAGTTCTTACAATACTTTCATATGTATGCTGCGGAATTCTAAACCACCTTAAATGATGGTTAATTTGTTACTATTTTGGACCAAGTGAATCAATGCCGGTTAATGTGATTGGAACTTGATGGTTTCATGCCGTTCTTAGTTGATTGTATTACACTTTCTGAAATTGTTCATGTTGATAATCGTTTATACTTCTGTACGTGCAAAATAGAGCTAATGATCGCCCAGAAGGAGAATTGAAAGACAATTTAGCTGCAAGGAAAGTTCAGAAAGCTGATCGGGAGAAACTGAGGAGGGATCGTATGAATGAGCAGTTTGCAGAATTGGGAAACACTCTCGGTACAGGATAAGTTATTTTTTAGATGCATTTTAATGTAATTAATTAATGTCTTTGACAAATGGCAATTTTAAAGCTTCTGCTTAAAACTGCACGTGCAGATCCGGATAGACCTAAAAATGATAAAGCCTCAATCATTATTGATACAATTCAAATGGTGAAGGAGTTAACGGACCAAGTTAGCAGACTCAAGGATGAGTATACTGCTCTTACTGAAGAATGTCGCGAGGTGATGATCCCCTGACTTATATCCCGTTTGGTAAGGGTATTTGGTTGAAATGGTTAAATTTGTTGTAATTTCTGTTAAGAAAAACAATTGGTAAAATTGATTTCAGCTAAATTAGCACATAGTCCTCCGAATTATGCTACCAGCCTACCACACTGGGCCTTAGTTTACATATTGATGCCTCATTACATTATACTCTGTATACATTCACTGGTCACTTTTTGTCCCAAACAGTTGACTCAAGAAAAGAACGATCTTAGAGAAGAGAAGGCATCCATTAGATCTGATATTGAAAGTCTGAATGCTGAATACCAAAAAAGACTCAGGACTATGTATCCATGGGCAGGGATGGAGCATCCGTTAGTCATGCGCCCGCCTCCATACCCGTACCCAGTATCCGTCCCAATTCCAGCCGGACCAATTCCAATGCATCCACCAATGCAACCTTACCCGTTCTTTGGCACCCCAAATGCAGCTGTCATGCACAACAATTTCCCAACTTTTGTTCCATTTATGACACCCAATCCAATTATCGAACAACCACCTGCACATATCTACCCAGTCGCTCAACCTCATCATCGAACCATTCATGGTTCAACAAAGCAGGACTCTAGAAAGAGCTCAGATACTCAAATAAGTGATGACTCAACAGATGAAGTTGCAACAGATTTAGAGCTCAAGACACCTGGATCTACATCTGAACAGGTTAGTGAGAAATGTTTATAAACTGTGGATGGAAACCCATGCATTATACTTGTTATACTTGAGATTTTTATGCATATAAGTCTAAACATGCCACTTGACATAGGTGTCATCATCAGTACAAAAGAGGGCTAAGAAACGTGCAATGGAGGAGAGCAGCCGGACAGATGCAAGTTCTTCTAGCGTGTGTTCATCATCTCATAGTGTTCATGTTCTTTCAGCAAGCAGTGCAGTAGGTGGTGACACCAAGAAGGATGAGAAACAGAGTAGTAGGGAGGTGTAATATCTCTGTCTATAGATTTGCAGTCTTTTATGTTATTATCGCCTAACTGTACTGTACCTTAAACAGTCTAACTTAGTGTCCATGTATTTGATGCTATTAAGTGATGTCCAATAATGGCTGATTATTGAACTTAATAATATTCGTTATTTGTTAGGCAATCCCAGATTGAGCTTATTTTGCTCAATCCTAGTTGGTTGCAGGTGATCAGGTGAACAAAGGTCACCAACTTTATACAAAAAACGAATAGAGCAAATAAGTTGATCAGCTTATTTAATGCTATCAAGTGATTTCCAATAATGGCTGATTATTGAACTTAATAATATTCGTTATTTGTTAGGCAATCCCAGATTGAGCTTATTTTGCTCAATCCTAGTTGGTTGCAGGTGATCAGGTGAACAAAGGTCACCAACTTTATACAAAAAACTAAAAAAAATACAAAATGTTGTCTTATCTCTTAGAATTACAATGTGCTGCAGAACCTGAAACCAATGTTCACACCCAAATATGAGATTTCTTGAATTTGGTCTGCATGGAGAAGGGTAGGTGCCAGTCGTTTACCCATCAATTGATAATGTTAAAATATAGTCCATTGAAAAACAACCAATGGGGTATATGAGAATGTGACCAAACTTGAAACAACTATTGCATTGTAAAAAGGAAAAGGTGCAAATAAATGTCCAGTTTCATATTTAAGTTGATCATTAATGTTTTCTTAGCTGCAAGTCTTCAACTCTGCGAGCATACCATAATAAATACCTAATGGGTTTTCAACTTTTCAATGTGTATTTGATCTAGAATGTCAAAATTAAAGTTTTAGAATCATTTAAATATTGACTTAGTATATTAATTGTGAAAATGATCTAGTATACCATAATAAATACCTAATGGGTTTTCAACTTTTCAATGTGTATTTGATGATTTGATGTAGTGTGTCAAATACTTCTTTTGATTATTTACATATACATGGGTCACGATATATCATATATGTTTCAATAAGAAAAAATGCTTAAATTTCAACACCAAATGACATAGTTGTAGACTTGTAGTCTTGTAGACTGACTCTTCATTTTTTTGTCTAGAAATTGGCATATTATATTAAATCAAAATCCGCAATATATCATGAGAATTCAAACAATAAAGTAACCTTCCGACACTATCCTCCCTCTAGACAAACATAACCATAAGCCCATCACCCCCTCACTTCTTTAAGACATGAAGCAGTCCACCTCAAAAAGAGGGAGACTAATCGCTCACAAAACATAGCAAACAGAAATCTAGCAACTAAGGCAAATCAATCTAAGAATCCATCACCCTTATTATTTGACCTGAAAAACAAAATAAAGATTAGCAAACATAACATAGCCAAAACAAAAAACTTCAGGTGGTGGAACCGCAAAATCCATTATTCAAACGTTGTCTTCCAGACCCTAGTCACACAATTCCTGTGTGGCGGCGGTTCAGGAGGGGGACGATCATCCACATACCATCTTCTTCCTCCACTAGCTAAGACAGTCAAAACAACCGCATTGATCCCCCAACAGTCGATTGGAGGCCAAATTCACCCTCTTTAACTGGGACCCATACCACCAGAATTTCACCCGAATAAAAAACAGTTGGTGCAACTCCCATCTCAGTCACCATCAAAGCCAAAATAGTCAAACCAAGATTCGAAAAATCGGGTCTCGCAACCCTAACCGACGCATAGGCACTTCTCCGCTGCCTTGCTTCGTTACTGTTGAGTTCCATCTCTTCGCTAGTGTCGGGGTACGTGAATATGTGCCTAACTTTGGAGCTCTGCCCCTGCAATCGCCTAAATGACGAAGCATGTGTGGAAGTCTGCGAACGAACCAAAGTTGCCACATCCATGGGCGGAGGTAGAGGGGGACCGGCCGGGCGCCAACCCACCCTAAATTTGAAAATTCTTTGTATTTTTAGTGTAAAAATCTATACGCAAAAATTTATTTGAAAAAATTCTTCGTGCCGGTCCACCCCAACCTTCTATCTTGGCTACGCCCCAGACCGCACCAAAATCCTAGGAAGTAGTTCCATGTAAAAGAAAAACAATAGAGTGCCTCTTCATTATTAAAAGTAAATGATTTAATTTATTGTGTAATACCAGACCATAAAGTGAAATCTTAAGTCTTCGTGGTAGAGACAGATTGAGTCCTTGGTGAAGCTCTTGAACGACAATAGCTACGAAGGTAGATGGAAATCATCTCTAGTAGATATTCGGACATATCTAAGTCAAGCCAAGAGCTATTTGCGACATATCTACAGAGAAGTAAATGTGACCGCTCATCTTCTGGCACAACATTATCCAGATAATTATTCAAGTATTATTTCCTATATTATTTCAGTCGGAATGAAGTTCCCCATTTGATTAGAAAAGCTTTAATAACTGATTGTATGGGTTTGCCATATTTTCGCTAATTTATGTGGTTGTTTATGTTATTATTTACTCTGCTCAACCCGAGGTTTTGATTTGGTCCCCTCGTATGATGTACCTTTCTATTTCTTAATATAAAATTCGATAGTTGTTCCTTGACTTCTACCCCAATGATTTTAGTGGTTTAAATTCCGGGTTAAAAAAAAAGAAAACTTAAGTATTTTCCAAAATCCAATGCATTTATTTTCAAATGTGTAGGCCTGTAGCAACTTATGAATCAAAGCATTTTGCATTTATGCTTATGATCTTAAAAGTATTTGTTGACATTGAGGCGACATGTATGTAAAAGTAATACTCCGTACGATATATATGTTGCAAATACAAAATATGTGTCACAATTAACACTTATGCATTACGTACAAAATCATATACGGAGTACGTTTTGTCATTTTCGAACTTAATGATTTAACAATTTTATTTAACATCATTGCCAATGAAGTCAAATATGCACTATAACTCTTCTATAAGTCTATAAATGAAGATGTTAGATGTATAATTATATCTAAAAAACTAAAGACCAACATATGTTTATTTAACTCCTCATTTCAAGATACAAACCTGCTTCATTGTAAGAGTGTTAATTTACTAAGACAGTAAGACTATGTTTTATTTTGTTTACTTGAAACATCTTTTCCCTAAAAGGTAAAGTCCCACGAGTATAAGATTTATGTTTCGAGGGAAATTTTACGGTACTTTTAAAGTACGGTACCTTATCGTCACTAACCAATTAAAATATTGCAATTGAATAATTTCAACATAAACAAATATTGATTTGGATCAACCAAATGTGATACATACTACATTCCCATTTTTTAATGGGTAGAGTAACATTCACCCTATTTGATCCTACCAACTCATAGAGGGGAAGATAAGAAATTTTTGTTAGTCCTATTATGTCTCCTATTTCATGAGTTAATAATGGACATCTCTTTTTAGCGGTTTTTGGAAAATGGCGCTTCGATACGTGAAAACATTGCTTGATAAATATTTGTAGTTTATATATTTTGTTCGGCCCTAGTGTTTTTAGTGAATGGTGATTTGTTAATCCAAACATGATAATTTGATTTCAAGGCTTCAAAGCCTTGTATATACAATCCAATCAGTCTTGTAAATCAAGAACCCCTACATAGCTACATCTATATGTATTATATAACTAAACAAACAATCAATAAAACCAAGTTTCAAGAAAAGAGGACCGGTACTGAATCAAGAAAAGTAGCAATACAATCAAAGCCGCCACCCCCCACGGCGACGTCCCCTCGGACGGGAAGCAGTTGTACATGATCACCCTCCGGTGACGGTCCCACGAAAGTGCCTCGTCGGACAGCCATACGAGGTTCTCCGTACTTGACAACCAACGCACTGCAAATAGCAACAGCAGAGGCAAGGCAATCAGCACCCCACCAAAGTCTTCCTTGGCGGACTCGGCCACTTCCTCGTAGGACACAAACCATTGCAAGGAAAGGAATGTGCATAGGACTGCTAAGATTAAAAGAACATGAAAGGGTACAGGGCTCAAAGAAAATGCATCTAGAAATGTTGCCATTCTTAATCCATTGATTTGCTTAGCTTCTTCTGTTGTGATGTTTTTGAGCTTGCTAATGTGAAGAGTTTCTGTTTGTTTCACCAAGTTTAATGTGTGTAATGAATATGTTCCTTATTCCCCCCACTTTCATTTATTAAATAATGGAAGATTTTCCAAAATAGGAGTAAATGAAATTTAGAAATCCAAAATAGGACTATTATGTTTTTATTCCCAAAATACGACTAACATGACAGTATTTACTATCATCATTTAGACGTGACTGCTAAATGATTGTTGTACAGTGCATTTAACATGACAATATTTATTAATGACAATATTTATTATAATTAATGACAATATTTTTCAATCATGGTAGTATTTTTTATACATGACAACAACTCCTATTTCGGGAAGAAAAAATAGTAGTTATATTTTGGAATTCCAAACCTCATCTACTAAAATGTGTAACGGTATGTTTTTTAACTAAGGTGAGATTATTATAAAAAGACCGCTAAAAAGTTTGATTATTAGTTTTCATTTCCCCAATTAAAAAAACATTCTCTTTTTTTGAGATGTCAGAGGATGCACTTCCATATAAGACTACTTGGAATTATTGCAAGAGTTTGACTCAAATCGCCACCCCTAAATACTTGGAAATACACAATAGTAGCCATATTTACAAAAAATTCAGAAGGTATTAGGTAGTAACTGAGTGGTCTTCTATATCAGAGCATTATGTGAAACTGTTATTATTCCCTCCTACCTACACCAACACATACATTGATCTCATCAGATTTCAGCATATCATGGGGAAGGCGGATCCAACAGAGTGGAGGCCGAAGCAATGGGTTCGTGCACAACGGAGTTTGTGGACACCGAAATAGCATTCCCTTCCAAACGCATCATCAAACCACCCAGTATCTCCCTTAACACTTACTTGAACTCCTCCTCTTTTACCATTTTCCCATCATCACCATACCTACACCAACACATACATTGATCTCATCTGATTTCAGCATATCATGGGGAAGGCGGATCCAACAGAGTGGAGGCCGAAGCAATGGGTTCGTGCACAACGGAGTTTGTGGACACCGAAATAGCATTCCCTTCCAAACGCATCATCAAACCACCCAGTATCTCCCTTAACAGTTTCTTGAACTCCTCCTCTTTTACCATTTTCCCATCATCACCATCCAACATCTTCAGTGTTTCATCAATTATCTTGTCCATCTACAAATTCTTTTATTAGTTAATACTTAAATACCAATTTACTCAATGTTCCATGAAAAAAGCTTGCAATTGACAGCATCTGAGTCATAAGAGACCTCCTATATTTAACTTGTTTGTCTCTGTAACTTTAGTTAATCTGTAAAAAAGAAAGTCAAATGCATACCTCATCAACAGCACCTATGGGTGGCAGGCCAGCTGCAGGAGCCAGCAGATCAAGTGTCACACAGAGGTATTTCTTTGACATTTTCCCATGACGATCTTTGGGCACATTTTGAATAGAAGAATCCAGAGTCTGAAGCACATCAACATAACTCAACAATATTATTATTTAAGTCAATATGTTATGTTCTTAGCTATACCGGATGAGGAGAGTTTTCTATATTTTATTGAAGGGACAGAGTTTTCTTTATTTAAACAACGAGATTCCCTATTTTGTGTCATAGGTTCTTTCCTATCGGAGTTGGATTTTAAATTGATTGTATAAAACTAAAGGAACTAACCTTATCAAATTCAAATTTGTTGGACAGCAACTTCTTAATGCCACTGCCATCAAAGGTGTTCTCAGTATGAGCAACAATTACTGGACGTTCCTTCAGACATTGAGCAACATTCTCTGCCACCTTCTTAAACTCAACCACGAATGCGTCTTTTGTAACCAGTTCGTTGACTGTAGTACTACATCGTCCGACAGCTGGTTCCACAATGTTGCGCATTACCTAAGGAAGAACCAAATATCCATAAAATATACAGAAAACAGAAAGTCTCTAAAAATATATACCCAAGAAGATTTACTACCCAAGAATCCGAGGTAGGAGGCACGCCATGATCAACTGTTAGTTTCTTGAATGCACTCACTATGTATTCTTTCAGGGAGCCATCATGTAGTTGTATCTCAGAAAATATAGAAACCATGTCTGGTTCAAAAGATGGATTGTTTAAAAACTCTAGAAGATCTTCACCGTCCATGCGAAGAATTACAATAGGGTCCCTCTTTAAACCGGTAGCCATGCCTAGTAGAATATTTCCAAGAACCTCTTTGAACTCACTCTTACTTACTTTCTCTTGCTTTCCATGTGTGAATTCATTAAGAACCTAGGTTCAGATTAGTGAAAGAATTAATTTTTGAGTGAAAGAACTGAAGAGAAGACTTCCAGGAATGAAATAGATAATTGATATTTGCGAATATAATGCACAGTTAAACCACAAAAGACAGTATTGGATTATACAAATGAAACCATATATGTACCACTTCACCGGCCATTGCACTCCCCCTTAAATCAGGTTGACATTTTTACACATTCCTAAATATAACATTAGGGGAAAAAGCCAACAACCAAAACATAATAAACAGTAAACAAATCCGTTCTTAAGTGCATTTCTGACTAATACGAGCACTGAGAATGCCATGTCCTTGTCATAACTCACAAGATATATTCTAAGAAATAAATGACCCACATTCACTGGATACTTTTGCAACAATTTAAGCACAGCTTAAGCAACAAATCATGATATATGACTAATATGAGATTTGATAAAAGTAAGAAAAGAGACAGGATACAAATCAGTCCATACCAATACCCACTAACTAGGATGACCACAGAATCTACTTTCTTGATAACCAAATAGCCAAAAGTCCAAAGTTTTCTTACAGGAGACAAAAAGGGAGCGCCTTTTCCTCCAAGATTTCTTACAGGAGTGAGTTCCCTCATGAAGAAATTCAAGAAAAGTGAAATTTCAGACAAAATATTAAAGAAATGGGAAGGGAAAGTGGTACCTCAGAGTAAATATGATCAGAGTGGGGAGAAGAGCCGATAGCAGGCAACCCAATAGCAGCACCAATGTCGGCGACGGCGGGCTGGAGTTCCTTCACGGAGAGCTGCCCGTCACAGTCTTTGTCGAGTTCTTGAAACTTGTGATCCACAAAGCTCGTAAACACCTCTTCGTTCCCAACCAACTCTATTATATCTGACCCGTCCATCACTTCTCCCTCCAGTCCTTTCTTTTTCATCTTCACCGTTTTCGCACGTTTTTTTTTCCTTTCTCCCACTTTCCGTGACTTAACTCCGGTTGCCTTTTTGAAGCCACATTCAGAGTATTAGAAGAGGCGAAGCGGGACACGGGGAGGCCGACGGTTAGGACAGCTTGCGTCGACGGTTTGGGCAAACGGGTAGAAATATTGAATTGATTTTAATCAGCCTAGGGTGGACTTGGCTGTGTAAGGTTTGCCTCCACTTCTTGTGTACCCACTTTTTACATATGTATAAGATTTTTTTTATGTCTGTACAGACATAACGTACCTTTAGAATTTTTCGCCTATTAGAGACAATCAGTATACCGTGGTACCCACCCGCTTTAGCATCATGCTCCTAGGGATAAAACATGGATGAACCGTATTCACGGATGAACAATAACTTTTTATTTTGTATTCCATTAACGGTGATGTAACTCCCGTTTAAAAAAATGTAACTCATGTTGATGGGAAACGTAACTTGAGTCAACTAAGTGGTCTAAAACGAAATATAAGAAAAAACTAGATTGATTTCAATGTAAACAATGAAAAATTGATCCTAATTACTCAATTACTTTTGCAATTAGCGAATATGTTTTATTTTTAATATTAGGGCCATAAATATGATATAATTAAATAGAATATACATATACATATACATATATATAGTAGTTTTCTGGTGCGTCCGGTCACACCAGAGAGGCTGTCCGGCTGACGGTGTTTGGCCACCTTCCGGATGAAATTTTTTGATGAAATTTTTATGACATGTTCTTCATTAAGTCTAATTTATTCACCAAAAAAGTCAGCTACAAACTCAATCTGAAAGGTCTTCAAATAATTTTTTGAAGTTAACTGTGCAAAATTACACAAAAAAAACGCAGTCAACTTCAAAAAATCATTTGATAACCTTCCGGATTGAGTTTTTAGCTGATTTTTGTGTGTGGATAAACTAGACTTGATGAAGAACATGCCATAAAAAGTTCAACAACAAATTCCACCGGGAACGCGGCCAAACGAAGTCGGCCGGACGGCCCCTCTGGTGCGGCCGGCCGCACATGAATATTACTCTCTCTCTCTCTCTCTCTCTCTATATATATATATATATATATATATATATATATATATATATGTATATATAGGGGATGGTTCAAATACAAAGACGTCTTCCCATGCAAAGTGAGAATGAATCTTGTACATTCATTTCCACATCTAATGGCTCAAAATGAGCCAAAAATGCACAAAATTCGACCAAAATCGCGGTGGCAATTTCGTAAATATGTTGCACTTTTTCGTTATAGTGAAAAAGTGCAACAGAAACACGCAAAAGTGTTTGCGAAACATGCAAAAGTGCATTTCTTCGCACTTTGCACGGGAAGAGGTCTATTTATTTGAACTCTTCCCTATATATATATATATATATATATATATATATATATATATATATATATATATATATATATATATATATATATATATATATGGGGGAGGGTTCAAATACAAAGAGGTCTTCCCATGCAAAGTGAGAATTAATCTCGTGCGTTCATTTTGAGATCTAATGGCTCAAAATGAGCCAAAAGTGAACTAAATTTGATCAAAAACACGGTGTCAATTTCATAATTAAAACGAAGTTTTTTGCCATCGCGGAAAAGTGCAACAGAAACACGCAAAAGTGCAACGCGGTGAAGAAAAAGTGCAATTGTTCGCACTTTGCACGGGAGAACCTCTTTTTATTTTATCTCTTCCATATATATATATATATATATATATATATATATATATATATATATATGATGGAAATATGATGATACAAATATTATTATGAAGATGCTCATTTTTGAATTCTAAGATATAATTGTATAACATATATAAGAAATGGAGATAATTTTATACGTCAAAGAGCAACTTACATATTTGGATTTATTTCATTAATCAATCTTTGTAAATATTGTGAAAAGGTGTATTATTGAAGTGGGTCTTATTTTCAATATTATAAATAAATTGTCTCTTGTCCTGGTTAATATAATACTTCGTATGTGATAAGGAACATTATTGTTCAAGTATCATGTAAGGCTTCAAAATATTATCTTGCATGTTCAAGTTACTCAAGTTTGAATAAATATATTAAGCGGAGAGACAATTATTTATTTTATTGGACATAAATTTTGTGGTTGCACAAACCTGAAATGTTTTTACTCTAGTTTTAAAACTGGGTACGTTACTTTGAAAGGGTTATGGTTGTTTGAAATTGCATTTAAAACTGCTGTTGCCAGATCATTGAATTGAAAACGTTAAGGACGTGCGACCAGCTTTAACTTCATGTCTCCATGCATACGTTAGTGTGCTTATATATGAATATTTGATTTCCAAAAGATACAATCTACTGCATCATACTCCGTATTAACCTTTACACATAAGGGAGTACTAACTCTCTTGCTTTTGTTCATTCTCTAAAGGCACTAACAATTTGTATACATACATTAAGTGAGATACTTTGAGTATCTCTTTGTGAGAGTTATCCCACTTTCCCAGTTTTCCTTGAGAAGCCATATTGATACCTTATATACATACTATATTCTTCTCTTATTTGTGTTCATCTCTTTTATCGGCAAATCGGGAAACGGTCGAAGGTTTCAGTCAAGGTAGCTACGAGTCTGAAACGTGGTAGGATTATCCTGGGAGCAAGCTAGCCAGATCCGTCTGAATAGCTATCGGGATACGGGGGCTATCTTTCTTCAAGGCCAGTCCGTTTTTGACTTGTGTAAAAGTTAGAGAAGTAACTACAACCAAAAGGTTGTTGACTTGCACTTTGTCGTTGTGTGCCTCAAAATAATAATCAATACAACAATTATACGTAGTATAATGAAATAAGGTTCGTATCCACGGGGAAAGGAATATTTATCTTTTAATTAAATAGTAACAAGGGGGGTTTTAGATTGTTGATGAACTTAAAGTATATTAAACACTAAGATGAATGACTTATGTGGTTTAATTAATTAGAGATGGAGACTTGGTTTTGCTTATATATCCACTTAATGAAATGTTCGTCAATCCCGGTTATATATATATATATATATATCTTTAACTATCTTCCTCTCGAATACTCAATCGAGGAGTATCTCCATTTCATCGAGGGTAGTTATTAATAACAAACACGTTCATTAATACTCCCTCCGTCCCTTAAAACTTTGTCATCTTTCCTTTTTGGGACGTCCCAAAAAACTTTGCCACTTTCCCTTTTAATCAATTATTTTGTAGTTTCTGTTATTTCTCTCTCCTCTGCACAAACCTCAACCACAGAGTTTTTACTTTATTATTCTCCGTGCCGGCCAACTTTGGAAAAGTTTTAAGGGATGGAGGTAGTAAAACTAACTATCGAGTCAATATAGAACACACGCCGTATATTGACCCGATAGTAGCAATAAACATAAGATGAAAACGATTGAGATTGATAACCTCAACACAAGCGGTTTAATGGTTCAATCAATATAATTAACCCCCCTTAGATTATTAATCATGAGACGCATGCATTAATAGTCCAAGTTTACTACCGTGAAAGGACCGAATGATTAACAAGCGTATTCATCGATCAATTCTAGTAATAATTAATATATGAAACAAAACTAGTTGATCCTTTAAGTAATGCTCAAAATATTAATATGAAGTATGAATAGGAATGTAATTAATATTCAAGGAAGATGATTAAAGAAAATAACTCACAACTTACAAATCATTATGCTTCAACTTAGCAAAACCAAGATGGAAGAGCTTACCTCCTCATATGGAGACTAAACATACTAGAAAATATAAAGGAAATACTTGTCTAAACTGAGCTTAGAGGTATATGTGAACTAGTGATTTTATTGTGAAGGAAAAGGGGGTTTATTTAGAGGTGTTTGGAGGTGGCAGGGTTGTGTACCCAGATCGGGTATATAGGGTACCCGATCGGGTATTTTAGACAGTTTCCCGGAAAGTCACTTTTCTGGACATACCCGGTCGGGTATGAGCCAATCTTCAAAATCCTGCACATTTTTTTGGTCTCTCCAGATTCTGATTTTGACACACTAATCAACTATATACCCGATTGGGTATTCCCTATACCCGAACGGGTATATGTATATATTCAATCTTCTTTTTATTTTGTCCCCTTGCACATTCCTTGATATTTTGAGGTCCAATCTTGATCCTTTTGATGATCTTGACAAGTTTTAAGCTCAGAATAATCTTAATCTAAACAAATTACAACTATTTAGAAAAATAAAGTAATTACACCAAAAGTGTGTAATTTCTACAAAAACAAACAATAAAACTAATTAAAAATTCAACTATACATAATAAAAATATAACAATATCAACCCCCGCATGCTTAGTTTCTTTACTCACTCTCGAGTAAAGTATATGTTTCATCAACAGTTTAAACAATCATGAACAAGCAAAACACAACCAAGTAATGTTTAAAATGTGTTTTACAAAGTGAAATGATTCCACCTACGCGTTACACACTTCATGATCTTGGGTTTACTTGTCTTCTATGCTTTCCATGTTCCTCTATTGTATCACCAAATCCTTGTAAAAATAATTTCTCTAATTTCTCTCATTTTGTCTAGGATCCTCTTTTTTCCCCTAGCCTCTCATTTCTTTTTTATTTTCTCCCATACTCACTCATTTTTTTCATTCTTGTTTAGGTTGCCTGTTCGGGTTTTACACCTAACTCACATTTCTTCTTTTTATTATTTTATTCTTTAACTTTTTTTTTATTATATTTAAATGAAAGTACAATGTAGAAGAAATACTATAGGTATAATGAAGAGTCTTCTTCCCCTTTGCTAAACCGAGCACTGTCCCTAGTGCTCGTTATCACCATCGCTCTTTTTTGTTTTTTGAAGATATAAAGTCTTGGTTTGGGAGAGGGGTGAGTGTTTCCAAGAGTAACAAATTACGGTCCAAGTAAAAACATTCTTAGAGCTCCGATCTATCTTTCCAACGAGATATAATACCCTTCAAATGGATAAACACCCAGCAAGATATGAGGGTCACAAATACCTAGCCTTATCTCTATTATTTAGCAATTTCAACGAAAATAGAGCACTTTTAGCGTAAATACAGTGTATTTTAGTAATTAGGCAATCATCCCTTGATATTTTGAAATCGGCGC